ATATATATATATATATATATATATTGCTATATATATATATATATATATATATATACATATATATATATATATATATATATTGTGACATCTATGCGTAGTAAAACACTTCTTATATAATTGACCCTAGTAAGTGTCAAGTCGACCTCTCGTCTCTACTTCTTCGAGATTAGACGAGATACTTACTGGGTACATATTGTTTATGTACTCATACTACGCTTCTGTACTTAATTGTACAGGATCTGAGGCAGGTACATCTGTCTATCAGTCTGGTGCGCACGTTTGATCGTAGTCCGAGATTCCACGGTGAGCTGTCCCTTTTCCTATGCCGACCAGTAGCATGATGGAGCCTTTTCTGTATTTTTGCTGTCTATTCTAGTTCTGACAGTAGGGTAGACTATTCTTTTGTATATTCTACTAGATGCCCTTGTACTTGTGACACCAGGTCTTGGCACACACATTAGTAGACTATTCTTTTGGGGTTGTATAACTATTTCGGTTTGAAATAAATCATTTCTTGTTTAAAATTCAAATTAGAGTTTGCGCTAACTGTTTTGGAAAAATAAAACAAAAACTTATTAAAAATTCCGCGTTGCCTTGCCTGACAACGGTGTTGGGCGCCATCACGACCTGGAGTGAAAGTGGGTCGTGACATTATACTCTTTAATTCAATATCAAATTCTAGAAATACTTAATTAATAAAAGGATACTTGACAATTGCACGTCAAGTTCAAATGATACATCTAATTTTAGAGGAGACAAAGATATTATTATTACGTCCCTATCATTTAATTTATGTATATCAAGTATACTCATTATCATTATTTAACTTTTCCCTTATATTTCGAAGTTTTTAAGTAATTAAATTTTATGCATTAAATCCTTCACTATCTGAATTATATTTTAAATTTTTAATATTGTACTTATTATACGTATTCTTTTTTATTTAAATTATGTAAATTTTTATTTTATAACTCAAACATAATTTTAATATAATATTTATATAATTATTTTAAATATATTTACACATCGAGATGGGGTACACGTGCAAAGTGCGTACCCTAAGACTAGTATAAATAGAAAAAGACAATGGTGTAAGGCATGTATTATTCACTTGATAAGAACACTTTTCAGAGGAATATTCTCTCTCTCTAGCAAAGATACAAACTTTACCTTTTCATCAATATTCTCACTCACATTATTCCAGACTTTTCCATCAGACCCAAGAATAGTTTGAACATTCTAGGATTTGTCTGTCATTCATCATTGTCAAGAGGAACAATCATCTAATTCATTCATTTGGTTTTAACGTACCATTTCTTTTGGTTTTAAAGTACGATTTCGTTTGGTTTTAAAGTACGATTTCTTTTGGTTTTAACAAACTATTTCTGTAAGTGGGTAGAAGCAGGAGCACTCGCTCAAATACGCGAGCAGGAAGTAATCGCCTTCATATGGAAAAACATCGTATGTCGTTTCGGCCTCCCCAAAGAGATCAGCTGCGACAACGGACCCCAATTTACAGAAAAAAGGTCGCCGAATTTTTTAAGAAATGGCGTATCAAGAAAATACTCTTAACGCCATATCACCTCGCGGGTAACGGGCAAGCGGAGTCCTCCAACAAATCAATACTGAACATCATGAAGAAAAACTTTAAAGACGCCAAAGGGCTATGGCCGGAAGTTCTACCAGAAGTACTCCGGGCCTACCGAACAATGCCAAAGAAGAGTACAGGAGAAACGCCTTACTCATTAGTCTATGGGGCTGATGCTGTAATACTGGTCGAAGTGGGAGAGCCCAGCCTGAGACACTTCCACGAGAGTGGGCCGAAGAACGACGAAAGCAGAAGGCAAGAGCTCGACGACGTCGAAGGACGAAGGGATATGGCCTACATAAGGATGATCGCCCAAAAACAACAGGCAGAATGCTATTATAGCAAAAAGGCAAAGGTCAAACCACTCAAAGTCGTGGACTACATGCTCAAAGCTAAAACACAAGCAAGCAAAGACCCAGGGAAAGGAAACTGGGAAACAATAGAAGAAAAACTACTACCAAACAGACGGAAGCACAGGATGGCTAGTTTATTGCTTGACCTCTCAAGACTTGTCCAGCTCGACCAATGAAGGGACTAAATAGACGGGGACTGGGACTGGAACGCAAGCCAATGCCCGAAAAATATGTAAATTTCTCCAAGTGTATGAACAAAGCACAAATACATGAAGTTCATTTCTATTGCTCCAAATGTACAACCAACGCAATGTCGCCTAAAAGTTTGTCACCTAAAAGTTCACAACACCGACAAATGCCACACCAAGAGGCGCACTGTCACGACCCAAGTTCTCCCTACTTATAAAGGTTTTCCTCGCACAACCGTAAAGAGCGATATTTATAAATATAAACATGAACTTGAACCATATTTGCGCAATTTATTTATTCATATAAATTGTCGTGTTGCTATTACAACTGATATTGGTAGAAGTGGTAATGACTGTGATTACCTTACTGTTACCAGTCATTGAATTGATGAGGATTGGATAATGCAAAAGCGCATTATTGCTTATAGAATAATCAATTCACGTCATACATGGCAGTTTATTGCTAGACTTACGGATATTTGTAGATATTTTTGCATTAGTGATGAAATCATGTCAGTTTCAATGGATAATGCTACTAATAACACAAATGTTGTAGCCTTGCTTATCACTACACTAAGTCCTGCATTTAGTAACATTTTTCATGTTAGATGTATTTGTCATATTTACCATTTAATTGTGGGTGATGATATGAGAACTTTAAATATTGAAATTGAAAAGGTTAAAATGGCTCTTAACTGGCTTTTTTATTCAGGCCGTAGAAATAGACTTAGAGAATATTTTAAAAGATACGATGAATTTGGCTTAAGAGAAAGAAAAGTTCCTAAACCTTGTCCAACTAGATGGAATTACATGTATGAAAGTTTAGTTGTTGCATATGAATATAGAAACCCCATAAACTCAACGTTTAATGCTCATGTAAGTGATGATGATGAGCACCTTACAAATGCAGATTGGGCTAATGTTAAAATGCTTGTAGATTTTCTAGAAAACTTTCATATTGCTACAAATGAATTTTCTGAGAAATATTATCCTACTATTTCTAACTGTTCAGTTTATATTGCAGAACTTGCAAATTTGTTTGCTCATTTTTCAGAGGGTGGGAAAATTTATAAACTTGCTATTGATTCTATGAGAAAAAAGTTTATAAAATATATTTTTCCTATTCCCCCGATTTATGGTGTTGCTGCCTTGTTAAATCCTACTATGAAATTAGGAGGTCCTCAATTTTGGTATGAAACTGTTTATAATGGTTAAGCACTTGAAGATGAGGAGTTGTCTAAACTTCCGGAAGCAATAACCTCAATTAAAATAAATGCTCAAACTATTTATAATGCTTATCAAGTTGCATTAGATCATGCTAGATCAAATGTTCTAACTCCTTCTTCTTCTGGTTCTCAATCATCTAAAAGAACCGCGGGAGTAAGAGCACTTAGTACTTGGGCGGGGTTCAGAAGTTCTCAAGGTTCAACTACTATTGATTTTTCACAACTAAATGAGCTTGAAGTTTATTTACAGGGAATTGAGGAAATGAATCCCCACGGCTCCTTTAAGATTTTGGAGTGGTGGAAAGACAAAGGAAAAAATACTTTCCGGTTCTTTCAAGGATGGCCCGAGATATTTAAACTATTCAAGCTTCAACAGTAGCATCGGAGAGCGCTTTCAGTCAAGCAAGACTTCAACTCGGTGATTATAGAGCGTCTATGAGGGAGAACTTGGAAAAATCAGTACTTTTTAGAGATTGGATCCGTTCGGAAAGAAGAAATTTTGGACTTGCTGAATCACAACCAGAGGTAGACGAAGTTTACGAAGAAATACTAGCTGAACTTGCGGAGGATTCTGCTTCGCCCGGAAGCGGTGATGACCAAGCTTCTTTTCCTCCACCACCAACGGAAATTCCTCCAGACCTTAATGGATTTATGAAGTTTGTAAGAGATACCATATAACTTGTATGAACAAAAATTAGTATGTATTATGTAACTTGTATTTTGCACATCTTGGTTAGTTTCTTTTTCTACTCAATGGTGGTATTAGCACCTTGTTGTGCTCATTCAATAGGGGAGAGGAAGACTAAGAAAAATATTGCCATATTTTTTTAATACTATAATAAAATTATAACGCATTGCTTTGAATATCTCTTTACAATATTTTTGTCTTTAAATTTGAATTAAAAAATTTAGGTCACAATTCTATAATATAATTTATAAGGAATAGCCTTAGATATTTTTATTACCATCTTTTTTTCTCTAACTTCTATAAAATTAAAAAAAAAAGTATCCGTTGGGCCCACTTAGGTTCACTTGAACCCACTTAGGCCCGAGGCCGGCTCACTTAGCCCGGAACTATTAGTTCGTGGGCCCGATTCCGAGCCAGTTCCTATAAAAAGACCGCCAAGACTGGGACCGCGAGGCCGGGATCGGGACTGGGACCGTGAGGACCGGCCCACTTTGCCCACATAGACACGGGACCAGCCCACATGCCACCCTAGTATTAACCTTGCCGTCCACCTCTACCTCTCTTGATATCCACTATTATCAAGCTCTCGCACCTACAGCATCTCCGAGGCGAAATTGAACAATTTGTGAAAGTTGAATGGGCAATTTGACCCTTTTCCCAAACTTCCTCTGAAATGTGAAACCAGCTCCAGAGCAAAGGCGTATAGAAAATACTAACCACAGTAAGAGTCGATCTCTCCTCCAAATCCAACTATGGCGATGAGCAAAGCTGCAAAACTACCCGAAGAAATCATAATTGACATACTTTCCCTCCTACCTGCAAAGTTTATAGGCCAATATAGGTGCGTGTCAAAGCAGTGGTGTAACCTTCTCTCAGACCCACAATTCATCAAATCTCACCAAAATATCCATGCCCATAAAGGAGAAGAGAAACTCATCTATGTCTCTTGGTTTTGCGAACTTCAAACTATCACGTTTAACCACAACCCCCAAAATGGAATCGATATCATCTCAAGGACGCTTAATTTGCAGCAGCTTTCAAACAGCTGGGTAAGTGTTGCTGGCTCATGTAATGGCTTGGTCTTGGTGATTAAGAGGGAAGAGGCTAAATATATGATCAATCCCACTACCTTAGAGTACCATAACATTCCAAATTTTGATTTGGCTCTTCCTGTGCCAGGTAGTTGTAGCATGTATGGTTTCGGGTACGATACTCTTAGCGATGATTATAAGGTGGTTACTCTTTCTTATTATGATTCATTTGATGAAAATGAGCCTGCAATTACGGACACTTTTGTGGATATTTACTCTCTTAGAAAGGGTCTTTGGAAGAGACTTGAGAGTTCTCCTTATGATCATCCACTTAGTGACCGTGCTTCTGGGGTTTTGGTGAATGGGGTTTTGCATTGGTTGGTCTGTAGAACTTCTCCGTATTCATTTTTAATTGCTGCTTTTCATTTAAGTGATGAGAAATTCTTGGAGGTAGCAGGACCTACTGGTCTTGGTAGTAATTACTCACTGTGTAATCTTGTGGTTCTTAGAGGGTGTCTTTGTATATTCACCGGTATAGGTAAAGACATGGACACAGTTACATGTTGGATGATGAAAGAGTATGGGGTTAAGGAGTCTTGGACGAAATTTACGATTACAGAACCGAATTTAGATAGATCTATGTGTACACTATTGTGTTCAGTGACTGATGATGATGTTCTATTGGATATTGACGAAGAGTTGGTTGTATACAATATGAAAGAGAATCAACGTAGGGATCTGATGGTTGATGCATCTCTTATTATGTATGAAGCTCGAACCTTTATGGATAGTCTTATCTCTCCTTCCTTTGTCGAAGGAAACTGAAGGCTAATGTATTGTTTGATGCGCGAGATGATGCTGTATACAGGTATTACGAGAACATTTTCTGCTGTATTATCCACCTTTATCCTCTTTCTCCATTAGATTATTCAAAGGCGGTTGTATTTCAACAGTACTATCAAGGATGCACCTTTAGCCAAATAAGTTGCCTTATAAGGAGTATTGCCGGTTTTCTTATTTTACGCCAGCTGCTATCATGTTACAAAATGTAGTCTATGAACCTGTAGGCTGTAGCCTAAAGTGTAAACAACAACATTTCATGGCTTTACATCGGTTTATTGTAATGCCGTATAATACCCTTCATCGATTTGCCGTAACAAAACATCAAACTCGTATCAACCAATCAAATTTGTTGAATAATTAGTAATCATCTAGATTCTTATATTTGATAAATCGAATTCACACTGTTCTGATGCTTGCGCAGGAATTAATTTGCTTCCTCTTAATTCAAGTTGTTCCTTAAGGATTGTTCATCTTTCACTGCCTGACAGAAAGAAGGCATTCTTTTGCAGTGCACTTCCTCATGTCTTGGTTCATTGTCATTCTGACATCGTAGAGAATTGACAATTTGAAGTTCTATTAATTCTTTGAAGTGAAATGTCATTGTATATTCAATATCTTACAACGAAAACAATATAACAACTAAGGTCACTTTTGGATGTGGGAACTTTGTTGAGTGTAGTATGTCTTAATTTTCTGCAAGGGATGTGATGGATAGAATATTTGGATGTGAGAATTTTTATCTTAATGGTGTGTGTATATAGCATTTTGTCTTCTGTTCATTGCTTTTGGCATTATATTCTTCATGTCAGATTATATATTAGGACATATTTGTCTAAAGAAGAGTTGAGTCAAGTCGTTGCTTCTTGGTACTGTCATAAATTAAATTACTCTTACCTGATTAAAACAAAAAGAGAATTGAGTCGAGTCATTCGTCTCTTTATCCAGGTCTAAGTCCGTTTGAATCTGTGCAATTCATGCTAGAGTGGGTTCAAGACCCATTTTAGTTAAGCATTTAGCAGACTATTTATGTTGAGATAAATGCTGAATTCACAGATAGGTTCCAAAAAGTGTTAAATGAACAAAAAATCCCACAATATTTGAGGACAGATAACACAAAATATATTGCAAGTCATGAGCTGAAAGGAAGTACCTTTTTTTTTTCTGATAAGGTAAAATTTGCACCAAGCTGGTAGAAAAGAAAACAGAGTTCATGCAAAGACCAACCAGACAAGCTGCTACTCTTTCCTTCCTAACAACTCTAAAAAATCCATGTATTGGTCCAGGCTAACTAATAGATTGCGTTTACACCAGAAAAAACGATTATGCAAACTATATTCTTGACTCTAGAAATATGATATCTATGCACTTCAAAGCAAGCTTTGTTCCTCTCCATCCATAAGGTCCATAAGATGCAAAGTGGGATGGTCTTCCATATCTGCTTCAGCCCTCTGGAAACCCTTTGAGACTGCCAATTTCTAATAATCCCCTTACATCTTTAGGCGTTACCCATAAGATACCACGTCTGTTCAGAAAAAGTTCCCAAGACTGTCTAGAGAATTTGCAATGAAGGAATAGATGATCAACTGTTTCCTGATCTTCCTCACATAAGTAGCATCTACTGCACAGAGAAAAACCCCTCCTTTAACAGCATGCTTAACAACTTTTAGCTGAGAATAATTTATCTTTACTAGCTGTCTAAACAAGGAATCCACCTGACTTTGATTAATCTGGACTGAGTTACCTGCTAGAGTATCTGACAAAAATCCTCTAGTTCCTCGTCATTCAAATTTCTTCTAAAATCTATCTGCCACTAAATTAAAAACTTCAAAGACTGACAGGAACTGCCACTAAAAACATCCAAAACAGAGCTGAAAACTAGCACTTGCTTAAGATACAACCACTATATGAAGTTCTTTTCACTTGTCTTTGGAAAGAGCGCGCTCTAGGAATTGGCAATTTTTTCGTTGAATTTAATCAACCCCACAACCTTAGAGTACTGTAGAATTCCAATTTTTCATTTTGATCTTCCCATTCCTTGTAGCTATAACATGTCTGGTCTAGGCTATGATTTTGCTAGTGATGATTATAAGGTGGTTACTCTTTCTTTTTATTATACTGATATTGCGCATGAAAATTTGGACACTTTTATGGATATCTAAAAGAATGGCTGTATGGAGGAGATCTCAGAGTTTAACTTATGACCATGAAGTTCCTTTCTGCTATTCTGTGATTTTGGTAAATGTTGCTTTGCATTGGTTGACTAGAAAAACTCCTAATCATTCATATATAATTGTTGCTTTTAATTTAATTGATAGAAATTATTGGATTTTCCATTACCTACTACTCTTGATAAAGGTAATTATGCGTGGATTAAGTTTGTGGGTCTTAGAGGTTGTCTTTGTATGTTCGCTTGGACGCAAGAAATCAACATTGATATCTGAATGATAAGAGAGTATCCAGGACCAAATTTAAGATTACAGGACCTAATATAGATTATGGTATGAGTCTTTGCCGTCCCTTGTGTTTAGCGAGTGATGATGTTGTATTGGATGTGGATGGAGACAAATTGATTGTCTACAATGTGAAAGAGGATCAGTGGAGGTATATGAATAACTACTATGTTTGAAGGAACTAGAAACTTCATGGAAGTCTTGTCTCTCCTACGTTTGACAAGGACATTGAAGGTTACTTCATTACTTGATGCAAACTTCTGAGATGATGTTGTATTCAGGTATTACCCAGACATTTTCACGGTCTCTCATTCATTTGGTGTATTTTGTTTAATATGTTTAATTTGGTCCCGGTATGGCGGTATTTAATTCGATAATAAACCCCATAGAGTATCGTGAATGGTAAATCTTTCCTCATAGAGCCTAAATTGCATGGACTCTTCATTTATGGTGTTGCACCTGTGTCGACACGACGCCGACACTAGTATGGGTGTGGGATACGTTCCGGATCTGGTCAATTAACATTGAGTACTTTGACCACAAACTACTTAGAAATTAGAGATAAGATTTGGCATTTTGATTTCTCAAGATAAAAGCTACTCTAGATTTCTAGATGGTTACCTACAACTTAGAACGAAAGATTGAGTTACTGCACTCTACAAGCTAATGTAAGTTTTCAACATAATGTTTCATATTTAGGCATATTTTGTAGCTTTATTTTTAGATATTGCCAAGTCCGCACCCGTATCTGTACCCCTAAATCTTAAATTTAGATCATGAAGGATCCGACCTCTAGATCCGCACCCATATCGGATACCCACACCCGAGTCCAAGCAACTTAGCATAGAGCTTTGTGATGGTAATTCTTCTGTCCTGAAGAAAATATACAATGATTGGTTCATTGGTTGTATCATATAAAAATGGAAATGCTTGGAATTGTAACTTGCTTCAATTCAACATCATAGAATGGTGGCTATTTAAGGGGAAAGAATAATTCAATTTTGAGCACATGCAGTCATGAAAAGTAATAGTTTTAGATGTTTTGACTGAATCATGATTAACTCATTTAAAATTATTGTTGGCCACTCTGTTGGATACTGTTTTAAGCAATACCGACGGTAAAACTGTGATCTAGCTGCTCTAGAAACTCAAAAAAAAAAAAAAAAAAGTTAAGCTGTCTACCTTCTTGATTGTATAATTGTCAAGATCTATCACTACAAAGACTCTAAGATAGATATTGGTAGCTGTCTACCTCCTTGATTATAATTGTCGAGATCTATCACTACAAATACTCTTAAGATAGATATCGGTAAGCCGTTTACCTCCTTGGTTGTTAGTTGTCAAGATCTATCAGTAAAAAGACACTTAAAATAGATCTATTGGGTAGTATCACAGCTTAAGAAGCTAACCACCCTGCTGGTTAGTGATTCATCGTATTTTCTATTACAATAAAGACTCTCAAGATAGATATCTGTATCAAAAATACATTGATAAGAGTAACTACTGAGGAAAAAGGCCCTTAATTTAAACAACCTCATGTTATTGTTCAAGAATCAAGGCATAACAATCCCTATGTTATTATTTTACAATCCATATACTGTAATGTATGTTAACTAATCTGTAATCCTAAGGACCCTTTGGTCTATTGAATATTCAAGGAATACCCTAGTTTAACAAATCGACTTTAGGATTCTCCTAATAGTTTCTCCTTTAAATCCAACTTTGGCAATGAGCAAAGCTGAATTCGTACCCCAAGAAATTATAACTTACTTGCCCGACTTCCTGCAAAGATCATCTGCCAATATAGGTGCATGTCAAAGCAGTGGCGCAATCTTCTTTGAGATCCACAATTCCTCAAAGCTCACCTCACCGTCCACACCAATAAAAGAGCTCATTTTTGTCGCTGGTTCTCACTCTCTTTACACTATCATCTTTAACCACAACTGGAATCAATGCCATTTCAAGAAAGATTAAGTTTCAGCAGCTTTCAGACAACTGGGGTAAGTGTTTTTCTCTCATGTTATGGCTTGGTCTTGGTGGTGAATAACAAAACTATTAATGTTTTAATCAAACCCACAACCTTAAAGTACCATACGGTTGCAAACTTTCATTTGGCTCATCCTCTTGTGCTTCGTCGCTTCGCAGGCATTAAAATTCAACCTGGAGTATCTTTACTTGTTTCACATCTGGATCACAGACGGTGTTATCTGCATACAAGAGATGGGAGATGTTCATGTTGTTATTTTGTCCATTGTTCACCTTGAAGCCCTTGAGCCAATTCTCATTCACAGCAAAACGAAGCATTTTGCTTAACCCTTCCATAACCAATAAAAATAAGAAAGGGGATATTAGGTCACCTTGCCTCAGACCCCTTTGAGTAGCAAAGAAACCTTGTGGAGAGCCATTTATAAGAATAGAGGATCTGACTGTGCTGATACAGTGCCAAACCCAGTTCAGCCACTTTGTGCCGGAACGCGATTCCTTCAAAACAGTGAGTAGAATGCGCAATTAACATGACCATATGCCTTTTCTATATCAAGCTTACACATTATGCCTGGCCTCTTCTCTCTCTTCCTGGAATCAATGCATTCATTTGCAATAAGTGATGCATCCATAATTTTTTAATTTTCTTTTTCTGTAGTGATTTCTGAATTTTGTCCCCTTATTTGATTCAATAAAATGATTGCTACTGACCCATAGAGTCTTGTGAATGGTAATTTCCTTCCTGAAGAAATCTTTTAATAAGAATTCTTCCTTCCTGAAGAAGATACAGTGATTAATTCATCAGAAAATATACAGTGGAAACTGTATTACGTAAAATGAGTCACACATGCATATCGTACTTGAATTGGTGTCTATGCTGCTTTAAGGAAGAAAAATAATTAACTTTGAGCATATGCAGTCTCGAAAGAAAGTTTTAAATGTTTAGGCCCTTCTCTGAATCATAAGCTAATCTCTCAGCTTGAATTATTGTAGGTTCATCTTCTGTGCTTTACATTTTTAAGCAATGTGAGGGTAAACTATTATGTAGCTGCTCTAAATTCTGGAAAAGAGTTTATATAATCAACTCTTAATCAAACTTATCATACATCGATTTCTTGTAATGCCGCATAATACCAAATTGATTTTGTTCTGTTGCTTGCACAGGAATTAATCTGCTTCTGGTGCCCTATTGATTGGAATGTTGTGTTTGTGCAGAGGCCGGAATCTCTATATACTTTAATCCCAGGGGTGTTCCTCTTTCATTATGATGTTGCAACTGTTAGAATTTCAAAACTGAAGACAAATCACCATGATAGAAGAAGAGTATTCGAGTAAAACTTGCACTTATGATTTGAATCTGGTGAAGTACACAAAAGCAGTAATCAGAAAACGTCTCGAGAAAAGTTCCCATTTGTGTTGCAGTATCAAAATTTCTAGCTCTGTTGTATGTTTTATTGCTTATCAGATATAACTGTGATCTGGCTTTAGTTTCACTGTTCCTTGAGCCGAGAGTCTTACTGGAAACAACCTCTCTATCTTTGTAAGGTAAGGTAAGGTCTGCGTACACACTACCCACCTCAGACCCCACTTGTGGGATTACACTAGGTTGGTTGTTGCTGTTGTATATAACTGTGTTTGACAAAAAAAAAATGACAAGCAATTTCAAATCAATGCAAGTCAATAGAATAGTTGCATAGATTGAGACGTGAATGCAAAGCAAATGTCTGGAAAGTTGGTTCGACCCTTAGCTCTCGTTTTCCCATTTTAACATCTTCACTTGACAAAATGAGTATTTAATTTGTAAACATCTCTAGGAGGAAGGATGACGGTAAAAAATCGAGATGGGATCGGTGTGATTTTGGAGTATATCTGTAAATAAAATAAAAATATATGACACTTATTTGATGTGGACCCTAATGTGTTAGGGGCGTCTATTACTTCTTCTATCCCAAAAAGATTGATACATTTTAGATATTAGGAGTCAAACAAGTTTCTTTTTTTATTCAGCTTTTTAATATGCCTTTCAAAGTTTTGAATTATTAATTATTTTGACTTGTAATACTTTTTTTGTAATTTCTAATTTTGTAAATTTTATTTCAAAAATTTAATAATTTAATATCAGGTCAAAATTAAAAAACTTAACTCTCGATGATGAAGTAATTCTCATTTGGCAGAAAAAAGACGCAATCAGAATTCGCGGGTCGAACATTCCCAATTTTCTTGAGAAATCTATACTAAATGCCCACACAATCCAAAATAATTACCCATATGAAAGCTTTTTACAAAATCTACCTATTCGGCCGAAACATTTTACCACCTTTTCCTTTTGCCTTTTGATTTGTTTTCTCAGTGCTAGCTTAATCTAGTGGAAAACATTCCCTTTACCCTTTAAAGTGCAAAATCCTAGAGCTTTCTCTTTAAATAAACTATGAAATCTAGTTGACCCCTTTTTTTCATGTAATCTCATCACTTTTTTGTCAAAATCTCATGCTTGCTCGGATTTTGCACTTCGTAGTTTTTGCTGAAATTAAAATTTTACAGATTTTCTTAAAGTCTTCTTCCAAAATTCCAAATGTATGTTTTTCAACTTGAAGATTTTAATATTAGATGAAGTGGGTGTATATTGCTTATAGTACCTTCGAGAAAGCTTCCCAGATCTGAATATTTATGCGTATTTGAATATTCACTATTGTCGGGCTTAAAGCTCTTGAATATAAAAATTTTATTTTGAAGATTTCTTGTTTGATTCAAAGCGGGTGTTATTAAATATTTCTTATAGTACCTTCTCGAAGTTCATACTGAAATTTGATTGCATTTGGTGTTGATTTGAGGTGATTGAGATCGAATTTTTTAGCTGAAAGTCGACAAAGAACATAGTTACCCAACAGTATACCGCTACAGTATCCAATATGTTGTAGGAGTTTATAGCTATATTACAACAGTATACTATAATAGTATACAATATACTGTACCGGTATACTGTAATAATCGAAGAAGACCACAATTACCTAATAGTATCCCGCTACGGTATACAATATACCGTAGGAGTATATAGCTATGCTGCAACAGTATACTATTATAGTATACAATATACTGTGATAGTATATTGTAATAATATGTAATATACCGCAATAATATATTGTAATAGTATACAATATATCATAATAGTATACTTCAACTGCTTTTTTGTTGAATCAGCTAGGTGCTATTGTGCAAAGCTAAAGTCATAGTTATAATAACATTTTATTGTTCTACTATACAATATAATATAACAATATATAGTAATAAATAAGTCTTTTTTTAATTTTTAATATTTTTTCAGCTAGGTACTTGCAAATATTTTCTTAAATGAATTTTTTGACGGAGTTCCATGAAAATAATGGGAAAAATCTTACTTTATAGTTGTTCTGATTAAATTTTTACCGAGTCATGTTCGAAATGTCAATTGAAGGCTATGGCTAAATTTTGAGTAAGTTTGGTGGAGATTTTCGGAGTAAATTTTGAAATTTAGGCCAATATTAAATAGAACTAGCAAAGAAGATAAAGCTGTATTGTATGCCAACATGTTATACTATATGTTATATTGGTATATAATAATTAATTCAAAAGTATATCATTAATTATACAATACACCACTAATTTTCTTGAAAGAATAAACTAGTACTATATGATACCTTGACAGGATATGATATATACCATATGGGTATCATAGAGGACCAATGATTTTTTTTTTTTTTTTAAGAATGAACCAATCCTGTATGATATCGTGTTAGTATATGATATATACCAGGTTGGTATCATAGAGGACTACGGACTAGACCTTTATGATACCCTATCAATATATGATACTATGTTAGTATTTGATATAATCCATGTGGCCCAAAAATGACCACACCGGTGAAATACCAGTAAAGCCCTTCATTTCACATTTGGCTTAATGGACATTTTTCCCTCCAAAATTAGTTAATAAATTTTGATTATCCCAAAATATTGATCCCATAAATTATCATTCTCTCATGCATGGGAAGATAAAAAGCCTTCGTATATACGGATGACGGCCTTCGTATATTCTCTCATTACATTTTTTTTAAATACAATTACGTATTTTTTTTAAATGCAATTTATAAGGATGGGAAGATCAAAAGTCTATTATGTATACATAATATTGTTTTTTTATTTATATGGTATACCTTGTCATACNTCTTATAACTGACCTACAGAAAAGAAAATGGGAAAAAGCAAGACATATATATATATATATATTATATCATTTATATTAAAAAAAAAAAGGTGAACAAATATTTATTATATTAATTATCTTTTTATTATTGCACGGAAAAAAAAAAGAATAAAGGAAAGGAGCAAAAAAAGTGAATAAAATTAGATCATGCAAAAAAAAAAAGAAAATAAACTGACAAAAGATTTAAATAAAATTAGAAAAGAAACAAGAAAAAGGAAAAATGGGAAAAGCCAAAACTGAGCAAGGAATCAGATTTTGGTGGAAAAAGAAAATAAAAAATAATATGATTGAAAAATAAACATAAAAGGAGAAGAAAAAAAAAAAGCAAAGCATAAACAAAACGAGAAAAAGAAGAGGCAATTACCCACAAACACTACAATGGGTATGAATGCAAAGCATAAACAAAACGAGAAAAAGAAGAGGCAATTACCCACAAACACTACAATGGGTATGAATGCAAAGCATAAACAAAACGTGAAAAAGAAGAGGCAAATACCCACAAACACTACAATGGCTATGAATGATAATTAGTTTGATGGGTAGAAAAATAAATGGATAGACAAGGGTAATTAATTTGATTTATGGGTAAAACTATAAAACTCCCAATTTTGTTTGAGGTCAGCCCAGGAGCAGAAAAATGCCCTAGTCAAAGAACGCCACTTTAGGTGTATCTACAGTTTCTCCTCCAAACCCAACTATGGCAAACAGCAATGCTGCTGCAAAAATACCTTAAGAAATCATATATGACATATTTACCCGGCTGCCTGCTAAGTCCGTTGGTCAATTTAGGTGTGTATCAAAGTACTGGTGTTCTCTTCTCTCAGACCCAAAATTCATCAAAATTCACCTCACTCTCCATTCCCACAAACATTTAGTAGATAAGCTCATTGTTGCTAGTCATTTTCTTCGCACTATCACCTTTACCCACGACGCCCAAGGTGAAATTGATGTCATATCAAGAAAGCTTGATCTGCAGCAGCTCTCAGACCACTGGTTAAGTGTTGATGGCTCATGTAATGGCTTGGTCTTGGCGATTCGTAGGGGAGAGGCTAAATATTTGATCAACCCCACTACCTTAAAGTACCATAAAATTCCAAATTTTGATTTGGCTCTTCCTGTATCAGATAGCTGTAGCATGTATGGTTTTGGCTACGATGTTGTTAATGATGATTATAAGGTGGTTGCTCTTTCTTACTATGATATAGATGAGCCTGATATAGTTGATACTTTTGTGGATATTTACTCTTTGAGAAAGGGTCTTTGGAAGAGACTTGGGAGTTCCCCTTATGATCATTCACTTACTGACCCTGCGTCTGGGGTTTTGGTAAATGGGGCTTTGCATTGGTTTGTTAGTAAAACTTCTAATCATCCATGTGTACTTGTTGCTTTTGATTTAAGTGATGAGACATTCTTGGAGTTGCCAGTACCTCCTACTGATTACAATTACTCTTTTTTTGAACTTGTGGCTCTTAGAGGGCGTCTTTGTATGTTCACCAAAAGTAACACAATAACAATTTGTTTGATGGAAAACTATAACATGTCTTGGACCGTACTTAGGCTTACGGTACCAAGTTTACATGATTCTCTTTGTACACCATTGTGTTCAATGACTGATGATGATTTTGTAATGGAGGTTGACGAAAAGTTGGTTGTCTACAACATGAAAGAGGATGATTTGTGGGATCTGGGGGTTGATGTTAGTTGTGATATGCATACAGCTCGAAACTTCATAGAAAGTCTTGTCTGTCCTTCCTTTGGCAATGGAACCGAGGGTTAATATAATGCTTGATGCGCGAAATGGTTGTCTGTACAGGTATTACAAAAACATTTTCACGTTTTCTTATTCATTTTTAGTCTTTATAGAGATTTTTGAATTTGGTCCCCATATTTGATTCAATAAAATGGATGCTACTGGCCCATATAATTTTGTGAATGGCAATTCTTCTTTCCCGGAGAAAATATACAGTGAAGACTTTATCTGAAAATATGGTGGTTCACAAAATAATCCATCTTTTCTCTGGTTTTTTAGATTCGTAATGAGAAGTATAAGAAGAAGAATTCAACTTTGAGCATATGTTGTCTCGAAATAACAACAACAACAACATACCCAATGTGATTTACAGTGGGGTCTGGGGAGGGTAGGGTGTATGCAACCTTGCCCCTACCTTCTATGAGGTAAAGAAGTTGTTTCCAACATACCCTTGGCTCAAGAAAACTGTTTTCAAAACAAGTTCAAAAATGCAAGAGTAAAAAGTATATGATGAAATTACTGAAGAAAAGAAAAATATTGATAGTAAATATAGTAAAATAACCAAATTAAAAGAAACAACAATAGTAATAAAATTGTATAATAAGATAATAATTGATTAATAATAATACCTATAACGAGAATAGGTAGCAAATAAGGTGCTCTAAACTAGGACCAAGCTCTCCCATAGAAAAGAGAGAAATTGCTCGACTATCTACTAACCTTCTATGCTAATCTTCAATGTCTATGCTCTCCTATTTAGGGTTATTGTCCTTGGGGAGCTGAAGATGTGTCATGTTCTGTCTAATCACCTTTCCGCAATTCTTGCTCGGTTTACCTCTACCTCTTCTTAGATCTATCACTGGTAACCTCTCGCACCTCCTGGGATATCTGTGCTCCTCCTCTTTACTTGCCCGAACCATTTCAGCCTCGCTTCCCGCATCTTGTCCACCACGGAGACCACTCCCATTTTGCCCCGTATATCTTTGTTCCTAATCTTATTTCTCCTAATATGCCCGCACATCCATTTAAACATCCTCATTTCCGTTACTTTTATCTTCTGAACGTGTGAGTTCTTAACTGGTCAACACTCTGCCCCATATGACGTAGTTAGTTTAATAACCACTCTATAGAACTTACATTTCCATTTTCTTTTTGTTTTTAAGCCTATTGGCTGACATTGGCATTAAGACTTAATGAATTTATTTATATATTCCTACCTTCTTTTTTCATTCACTAAAACCTACGGTTGAAACATAATCGGACTTTGTTGGTTTTGTGCCAATAGTGTTCTCTCGTCTTTCTAATGGTGAATCGCCGAAGCCAAATCCATCTTGCGCAGAGGGGAGACGATGATCGAAGTCAGACTTGAGTATGGGACGAGAACTCACTCATTTTGATCCCCTTGTTGACCAAGCAAGGTCGCACGAGAACACCTACGGAACACTCTCTTATTGGTGGCACATATGCTGTCTCGAAAGGAAGTGTTAAATGCTCCGTCTCTTCTCCGAATCATGAGCTAATCTGTAAATAAAGTAACTCATCTTCTGTGCTTTACATTTTTAAGCAATGTGAGGGTAAAACTGCTATCTAGCTGCTTTAAATTCTGGAGAAGAAGTTTATATGGTCTATCTCCTTGATTTTGACCCTAAAGACTATACATCGACATTTGGTAGTAATTATTGTTTATAAAGGTAATTATGACAAAGCGAATACTTGCTGAACTCTTGATACAGAAATATGTTGTTAATTTCAGATTTTAATTTACTTGCTACAATAGGAGTTAATTGTCCGCTGTATTATCCACCTTTATCCTCTTTCTCCTATAGATTATTCAAATGCCTTTGTATTTGCTTTGTCTAGAGAAACTATGCTTGCAATTCTGATAAGTAAACTATTTCTGCAGTAGTATCAAGGATGCACCTTGAGCGAAATCAGTTACCTTTTTTAGGTAACCGGGAAATCCCTGAGAGTGGCCCTCATGGCCCAAAACTCAGTGGATAATGGGCCCGCCCCTCTACCCTTCTCCACTTAAATATCAGGCTTTTGTCTGCATGTGGGTTCGAACCAGTGACATGCGCCTAAGCCACACATCACAAGCTAATCTCTTACCATACATTTCTGGTTTTCATATTTTTTTCAAGCTGCTACAAAATGAACATAGTGTTAAATGAGCATATTGGAGTTAAAATTTTAAGTTTTTTATGTTATATTCTCTAGTATTATTTATAAAAACATTATAATATTATCTTAATTCTTAACTATATGAGAATATAACATAAAAATCTTAAAATTTCAACTCTAATATGCTAATTTAACACTATGTCCCCCAAAATCCCCAACGCCCCTGCAAAAATTGGTTTAATTAACTAGAATTAATAGTCGAGGGTAAAGGGCATCATTTCATGGCTTTACATTGGTTTCTTGAATTGCCACATAGAACCGTATTGACACTGTTTTGATGCTTGCATAGGAATTAAGTTTCTGCGGACATGTCCTGGTGCACAAGGTAGGGGGTAAGGTCTGTGTACACACTACCCTCCCCAGACCCCACTATGTGGGATATACGGGGTATGTTGTTGTTGGACCTGTCCTGGTGAATATATTGAATGCAATGTTGTGTTTGTGCAGAGGCCTCAATCTCTAAATAATTTTATATCAACGGTGTTACTTCTTCAGTATAATGTTATACAATCATTATGATTTCACATCTGAAGAAAGATCACCATGATCGGAGAGTTTTCAAGAGAGACTTACATTTGTGGTTTGTATCTGGTGAAGTACAAGTATTGCAACACCATCCGGAGAAAAGTCCCCTTTTGAGCAAACTTGAGATTTATTTGTCGAATGTTATATCTCCGCTAAATTTCTCAACATTGGAATGATGTATTTGCATTATGTTTTCCTATCATGTGAAAGCAGCAACATTCTCCTTTATATTGCAGTACCAAAAAATCTAACTTTGTTATGTTTTAGCTTATCAGAAATACCTGTGTCTAATTCTCTTCTTTCTGTTGTTGGTGGAAAATGTTACAAATCACCTATTTCCTGGTGTGCTGTTGCCACTAGAACAGGTAAAATAAGAAGTTTAACATTAAAGAGTTTCCAAATATAAATAGATGACATTTTTTTTTAAGAAACAATAAAGAGAGTCCTATAAAGTAGAACAGATGGAGTATGAGGTTATTTAGGTTTATAAACCCAATATCTAACAGCTTGTTTCGATGGTTGTTACGCATAGTTTCATAATGTACCGTATCGTACTGTATCGTTTTGTACTGTATTGTTTGATGAATATAATGTTTGGATAGATTGTGTCGTTTGCCATAATTTCATGATATCACGCACTAGCAATATGAAGAATAAACTTGCAATATTATAAAGAAAAACTATGATACAAGATAAAATTACTATATAAAAAGGTAGGGTAAATGATAAAATAAAATAATTTAATAATAATAAAGGGTGAGATTGAGAGAAAAAGGCAAGGTAATGACGCGACCACACCAAATCGGTCGTTACATAAAGTGGCACATTTCGTCGTTATGTAACGGCGAATTTAATGATACGATACAATAAAATTAAAGTTACAATCAATACAAACATTATATTTAAAGGGTGAAAATCATTTTCGCCCTCCTGTTTTGTGTTAACAACAAAAAATTCTCTTCCAATTTTTGAAAAAATAGACATTTTCTCCGTCATATCCTACTCAACATCTATTTTGCCTTACCAAACTGGAAGACATGATAGGCAGCGACGACATGGCCCTGCTTAACATATATATAGGGGTGTACAAATTGAATCGGAAAATCGCATCAAATTGAAAAGTTAATCCGATTAAGTTTGATTTGATTTGGCTTGGTATTGAGTAAAAAAATCCGAACCAAACCGACATATAAATATATAATATATAATTTTTATATATACTTTTAAGATTTTTTATAAAATTTTCTTTAAAAAATATCTAAACATATTTGTGATTCTCTTATGGGATGTAATAATTTAGTTAAAAATGAGGTGCTCCATGTTTATTAACTTTAAATAATGGGTTGTATGATCACTTTCTTATCAAGTGTTAGTGAAATGCGTCAATCTCTTTGTTCTTCCATATTCATATGTCAAGATCTATTAAATCACCTTGTTGTCTTGTTGTTTTTATTCTGCTTTTATATGCCTTTTGGTACTGTCCCTTCTTATTTATATTTTTATTAATGTGGTGCTTATGCTTTTCTGAGCCGAGGGTCTATTGGAAACAACCTCTCTATCCTCACAAGGTAGGGTTATGGGGTCGGCGTATACACTACCCTCCCAGACCCCACATTGTGGGATATACTGGGTATGTTGTTGTTGTTGTTGTTGTAAGATATTAAGTTCTTATATCTTTTTCAAACTTGAAATGGTATTTCGATAATTTAAAATTTAAATGGAATATATCACTTTATAGGTTCATATTTATTTTTATGTTTAATTATTAAATTCGATTAACCTTGAAAGTGTACATTACCGTAAAATTATTGTCAGACGACTAAAAAATAACTATCATGTGTTACTAAGAAAAATTTTCCATAAGAATATTTTAATAGATCATATATGTGTCAATTTTTTCAATTTTTACTAAACATATATTTACTTATAAAAAATTTAACAAAGTAAGAATAAAATATTCATAAAACAAAAAAATCCGAAAAAAACCCGACAAAATCGAACCAATCCAAACCAATATAATTGGTTTGATTTGATTTTGATAAAAATCGAACCAACTCGGTCCACGTACACTCCAACATATACATAATTGAACACATACTGAAAGATGTTGATAAAATGACACTATTATTAATAATTATGGGGCAACTTATTGAGGCTAACGGACAAATCTGTAGATAGAATATTTGATGAGAAAGAAAATTGGCCCATTTTCAAAACTACAAGCAAACTCTCTTTCAGGCATATCTACCTTACCCTAACTTGTTAGAGTCAATTTGGAACATAAAGGAATGAGTTCAACAAGAAAAGGCCACTTGATTTCAATATAACAAAGTTGTGAAAGTCTTTTGTTGTATTTTTATTTTCAATATCCCACTTAGTCTTTCAATGAGTATGCCTTGACGTCGTGTTTTATACCGTTGTATTAATTGTCATGGTCGGTTGCTTTATGTTCATATAATGCATGATTCTCTGATTGCTGATCGAGCCGATTCGATGACTTTGTATGAATTAGGGTTTTTGATATTTTTGATCTTATTCTTAATCCAATGTCGAAACAAGGTAGCGTAAGTGCATAGTAGCTAGTCAGTGGGGTTAAGAGAGTGCTTTGTTAGTGTTCTCAGTCTTAGATCAACTTTATTTGGTCAACAACGGGATATAAAACGAGCAAGTTCTCGTCCCATATATTCAAGTCTAACTATTCTATGCAATTCGACTCAATCTCTTTGTACCATCACCACCTTCAGAGCCTGACACGCATAGAAGAATTTTCATATAATGTATTTTCTATATCCATAGACTAGTTTATCATTTACAAGTGATGAATACGAGAAGAATTGATCTAGGAAAACATGTCAATATGGCGTATAATCAATGTTTGCCATAATGTTTCCATTGACTGTTGCTGACTACAAATGATGAACTTCTGTACTTTGAGATTACTCAAATCTTACTATCTCATCCATAAAAAAATAATATTTTTATTCAATTCTTCCTCCAACTATTTTTAAATAAAATAAAAATATTTGAGTGGCAACTTTAAAAATGGGGACAAGTAAAACCGTCAATTTAGATATTTGAACTTTCCTAAAATTTCAAATGTACCCTTGCAATCACAAATCGAGGGTCGAACACTTCTAAACTTTCTTTGAACTAGGTGCGTGCATAGTTTGGGTAAATCCAAAATTCATATTTGATTTTTTTTGAATTTTTGGTTTAGATTTTCAAATTATGAATTGGATTTCAAATTTAAATTTTAAATTGTTTGGATTTCGGATTAGATGTTGGATTTGGTACTTTGAATTTTTGGATATTCGAAAATTAGAAATTTTTATACATGATATTTAATCCATTATCCATATGTAAATAATAATAAGTACAATACCCTACCCATTAGAAATTATCTCATAATATTCAATATTTTTACTAAGTTACTGATATAATACTTTCTATTTTGATATGATTTACTATTGCTAATTTTTATCGGCCTTATTAATATCTCTGTTGTATTTTCTTGATGATGATTTTATTAATTTATTTGAATGATTGTGGTGAGAATGAGAACTTTTTAGGCAATTTAACGTAGAGGTGTCTAACGGGCCGGGTCAGCCCGTTTCCGGACCGGCACGGACCGGTACAAGGGGGCCGGGTGGGGCTAGGTTAAAGGGGTAGGGTGTTTGGTTCGTTCACCTATTTTCAACCTGTTAACCGGACCGGTCAAACCCGTTCAACAGAAATACTGTAGAACCGGTTATATCGACCCGACCCGGACCGGTTAATGGCTAGTTTCTTTTCTTTTTTTTTTTTTTAAATTTTTTGATTGGCCCGTCCATGTTAACCGTTGGCAACGCTCACCTGCCAAGGAGCCGTTGCCCAACGACTGATTTGCACAATTAGCCCTTTTTGGGCCTTTTTTTAAAAAAAATTAATACTTTTGTAATTACAAATTTAACCCTTTGAAAAATTATAAATACACCCCCCTCTTCTCTATTTCTTCACTCATCTCTCATTTCTCAAACTCAAATTCTCAATTCAAGTTAAATCATGCCTCGTACTTCTAGAGTGCGCTCATATGTTTGGGAACACTTTGAGGTGGTAGAAGAAATTGAAGAAGTTCAGAAAGTAAAGTGCAAGAACTGTGGTCGAGTCTTAAATCTTCGTCCAAAGTGTGGCACATGCAATTTAATTAGGCATATGAAGAGTTGTGTTGAGCGTCCTCCGAAAATTTGTATTTAAGTTGATTTTAGACAATTTGTGTTATTTTAAAATCATTAGACGTATTTATGCTTAATGTTTTAGTTTGTTAGATTAATTTGAAGTATTATTATGCATGAAAATTTAGTTTACTCTTTATTTGTTAATTTACTTGTTAAATGCAAACTTCAATTTGTAATTTTGAAATAAATGTAGCACTTGCAATTTATAAGTGCAATTTTTTTCCATCTTCATTGTATTCTTTATATTTTTACTTTATATTAATATAACTTACAATAGTTATACAAAATACAAAAAAATATTGAAAATTACACTAACCCGGCCTGACCCGGCCCCTTGTACCCGTAATCCTTACGGTTCATTTTTTACCTGGATGAATCCGAACCCGTTAAACCCGATAAGTCCCAATCCGTAACCGGCCCGGACCGCAACCCATTCTGTTCCTAAATTTTGAGGAAAAAACATAACTAGGCAATAATTTAAAATTTCTTACACAGCCTTAGCAGATTATCTTAATTTACAATTTTGGCTATCATGTATTTGCATTTCAGTCACTCTATCTATTAAACCGGCATCTCATCACCCGAATCCCTGCGAAAATCATGTTGTCGTTAGCTAATTTCACTCTGGATAGACTTTTATCTTTTAGGAGTGTTTATCTTTATTTTATTGGTACTTGGTAATAATGATTTTAATATTTCTCTCAATTTCAATTATGGTGGTTGTAATGAATTATATGCTATTATATGTGGGATCCTTTTTGCTCATGTTTCAAGTCGTACTTCTTATGTTTTAGTCCATCATACTTCTCACCTTTTTCTTTTTAATTATTCGGAGTAGAACTAATATTTTTTTAGAAACAATAAATTTGTTCAATGAGTAGAAAAATTCTTTTGTTTTTTGGGTTTGTCAAAAAAATTGTAAACTAGTAATAATTAATAAACCGCCCGATTTTGGTATTATATGTATATAGACCATATATTTTATATATATATATATATATATATATATATATATATATATATATATATATATATATATATATATATATATATAT